ATTTAACTTATAACAGGAAAAAAATAATCTTCCAGTGGAACTAGTAATTTCTCTGCAATTTTAAGAAATTATTGACTTAAAATAAGATCCTATATCTTGCTGAGAAGTTACTGATGAGTAAGTTTTGTCTTATTTCTAGAGGACTAAGAGATTTTCATTAGAAACTAGGCCGGAATTACTTAAGATTTTGTGTTTTTGCAGTGTATACACTCTATTCTTCTTTATCTCTTTCATTTTTTGCCAAATTTAAAAATCAAATGCAGATTTTTTTTATGTTTGCATAAAACAAAGATATTTGCTCCAGATTAACAGTGATTACGATGGTGTATTAGGACCATGGTAGATTAAAAAAACAAAAAGAATAAATTTCCAACAAAAAATATCAGAAATTTTCTAGAAAAACTTGGAAATTTCTGAGTCTCTGAGTTTAAAAAGTGAAAAATTGTCAAATATTGAGACTCAGAAAATTTTCAAAAGTCTAGAAAATTTCTGAGATTAATCTGAAAATTTGATTTTTTTCTAGCATATTTTCAACTTTTCAAAGTCCAATATTTTAAAAATAATTTTTTTAGAAAATTTCTGAGAATAATCTACAAATTTCTGAGTTTGTTGTTGGAAATTTACCCTCTTTTTTTAATCTACAGTGGCCCTAACGCGGCGTTGTAGATGTGTTGTTTGATCATGTAAATTTGGAGGCAGCCATTTTGTATGTTGGATGATTAAAAGAGATGAATAAACAACCTTCATTATATCAAATGCAAGTTTTTGTTTGGCTTTAACACATTTTAATGATTTATTTCAGACATGAGAAAAACAATAGAAACAAACATCAGTGATTAATTAATAAAGCAAAACAGTAATGTTAAAATGTACTTATTTAATTCCACTCCTTGTCCTTTATATTTTCAAAAATAAAGATAATCAAATCCAAACTGAATTTTTTTGTGTTAGTATAATAAATCATTAACAAAGTGTGTTAGTTTGGTTTTGGTACAATTATTCATATTTAAAGCAGAATTTGGTTCTTTCTGTTAGAAAACTCACTGGTTTAGTACAAACATTACTTCCAGATCCAGTGAAAATGTCTAAGCAGAACAAGTGTCATTGATCTGATCAAAGTTAATCCAGGGACATCAAGAGAATCATATAATCCCAAAGTTATCCAGAGTATTTCAGTTGTTTTGAATAATCCTGAAGCTCAGATTGGAAAATGTGACAGTTGTTATGAAGACACTTGTGAGGATGTTTCTGTTATTTTTTACTGAAAGTTTTAGTTTGCATCATTATTATGAAGAACTGTCGCCCTCTTGTGGCAGGTTAGTATCAGCAAAGAGATGTTTGTGAACAGAAAGTCATAATTTACTTTTATATTTTCAGTGATAAATAGTCTTTATTGGACAAAATCTCAGAGTTGGCAGTTGACAAGGCAAAATCAATGCAGATGAAATTATTTAACTGGATTGTGAGGTGAAATTAGTCTCATAATTCAAACTTCAAAGATTTTTTTTTCCTTGTAGTTGTGAATCTCAGAATATATAATTTTTTCTCAGAATAAGAATTGTTTAAATTGTTTATGCATCATAGTCTCTCATCCAGTCTCAGAACATCAGACTTTCAGTTTGGATGAAGTGCAGATTTACAAATCCTGCAGTGAGGAAGAAACAGTTGTGTTATTATTTTCACTAGCACAACTGATGTAGCCCTAAGAATCTTTGCTTACTAATTTTGAATTTTGACACAGAATTAGAATTCTGAGGAGAAAAAAATCAGAATTTATTTACTTTCTGTTGCCCTAATCTTCCATAAACTTGTGTTATTGTAGGCAATGAAACTGGAGAAAATGTCTTGTCTGAGGAGATTTGTGTCGCATTGTTCACACAATGATGTGCACAGATCCTCATTTCACAACAAAGCACATGTGAAAGGCAGGTAATGTGCTGCTAACAGGGCTGATAAATGGGAAATCTGTTCCAGTATGTGGGATTGATGCGGCTCCCTGAGGGACCCCAGTGCTGCTGCTGCTGCTGTCTGCGCCGTTAAATGTCCAGCCAACACAAAAGGCTAACGTGAGAAACACAAAGGTCACTGGGTCGATCCGCCTGCAGAGGCTCGTCCATTTTTAGCGTGTTTGGAATCCATCTGATAGTCATTTGTTGGAGAATGGGTTTCCACCTGCAATCATGTTTCATCCTCATCATCACTCCGACAGACAGAACAGATGCAGAATTATGACCTTTATCATGGCCGCCATTGTCGTTGATATGATGTCAGTTAAAACCCATTTTTCTCTTGTTTAGGAGAATGTTGATGATTGTTATACTTTTTGCTTGTACTTCGAAATTAATTAAATGAAAAGTAAAGTTGCTTGTTTTTTTTTAGTACATGAAGTTAGCTAAACAACACCTGTTCTTCAGTGTTTAGCCAACTCTATCAGCTACATTCTAAAGTGAGATTAGTCGTAGATCCCAGCTGTAATTGTGTAAAAACCAAGTGAAATTTATCCTTGGTTAAAAAAACCCCAAAACAAAACAACTTTCTGGCCTCTATATTATTTTTTTCCTCAATAAAGTTGGAACAAGCCAGCTTTCTGCAACAATGTAGAAAAAGAAGCAGTAAATTGTGACCAAAAAAACTCATACGTTTTTACATTTGACATTTTTCTAGAAAAAGTTTAGACATTGCTGAGCTGCAAGAGCCAAAATTAGCAAGAAAAAAGTCACACAGTTTGAGATTAATTTCAGAAATGTTCTACAGCAAATATTGAAACTCTTTGAGCCTTGAAGGTGTAAACATTTAGGAAATTTTGGACTTAAAAAAAAAGATTTTAAAGAAAAATTCTGAGAATCTCATATTGCATGAGTTTTTGCTGGAAATGTACACCTACATAGGTAAAACCAGCTGACCAAATGTGCTGGAATTCTATTTGGGTTGCTAGGAGACAGGGATGTGCTCAGCTGGGGTTGCTAGGTAACGATGCAGCGCCCATACATTGTAACTCAACAGTCAGGAGGTTTAAAAAACACCCACTAATTTATCAAAATGGCTGTGTGTTTTTAGAAGCAGTTGAGACCCAAATAGAAGTACCAAAACATGGGAAATGAATTTTGCATCATAGATTTTCTTTAATGGTCCACTGAATAAAACTGATTCAACACCAAGCTGCTAGCGAATTATTCCCTGGCTTCATTTGTTCCTGTCTTCATTCTAGGCAAGACATACAGGGTAATAATCTCCTTATCCATAGAGGTCTAAGGCAGTGCTTCTCAATTATTTTCCGTTACGCCCCCCTAGCAAGAAGAAAACTATTCGCGCCCCCCCTCCACCGTGACTATCCATCTCTGCATAACATTTTTTCCTTATTAACATTTTTTTTGCTGAAAAAACTCTAGCGGCTTATCGGCGTGATTGGGATGTAACGTATTTAAGTGACGCGCTAATTTATTTGGCTTCATGCTGTCCGCTGCGAGCATTTTTAGACACAGCAAACACAGCGGTCTTTCCTCTTCTCCAACTGTAGTCACAGTGAAGCCAAGCTAAATACGCTTCGTCGTATTTCCTCTTCTTAGCTTTCGGTTGACTTTCTGTTGTCTCATTATCTTTGTCTCTCTCCGCTTTTCTTTTCATCCCTGTGAAAAACTTTTTCATGTTGGGGGTTGTTGAATAACGGAGGCCATAGACAGAACGCAGTCGGAGCTTTTTGTTGACTTAACACTGCCAACCAAGGCAAACCTGTTGTCTTGTAAGTCGTAAAATGTTGCACTGTTGCAAACGTGACAGAAGTAACAATGAGAGCGCCACTGCCGCCTACTGTGCGCAATTACACTTTATACTAGTTCGGCCAAAAAAAAGCCTGTTCCCCAGGATCACACGCCCCCCCAGGTATCGCACCGCGCCCCCCAAAGGGGGCCCGCCCCACTATTTGAGAAGCACTGGTCTAAGGTCTAAGGTGTTGTGTTTGTCTGAGCTGTCCCGTCCTTGCATTAGAAGATCCTGCCAAGAAGCATTTGACTTCAGAAAACAGCCAAATACCCCTGAGAGACAGCTGAAGCTGCCACATCCAGCCAGGCAGGGGTCCAGAGACAGACTGAGGGCTTACTGGGAAGATTACAAGTCTCATCTGGGGATCCCCCCCAATCAGTGGCAGTTTCTGATGTTTGTTTGTTGTCTTGAAAATATGAAGTCATTGTAAATTAAGACTGAAAACCGTTTTAGAGTGAGAAATGTCTCATGCAAGCGAGAGCCATTTCTGCAGTTTTCACAATAAGGCCGAAAAGCTGCAGTAGGAAACTTTTATTTAAAAACAAAACAAAACTAAACATTATTTGTTGAAGCTGTCACCAGGAGGCTTGTCGTAATACATTTTACTGGGAGATAAATTGTTCCAGAAGTTATTACGATAATGTTGTTGTTGCGAGACAATTTTCAAGTAATAATAATAATGCAAGGACACATTTTCAGAAATCAATAAACTTCAACTTCTAATGGACTTTTAACACTGGAACTGGAAGACAATTTGAATATCCAAAATAAGAAAACAAAACAACAGCAACAACAAATAAAATTAATTAAAGTCTCTAAAACAAAAAGGTTAAATGAGATTTGGACTAAGTTTATTTTAGCGTATTTTCAGGTTTTCAAGCTCAGTCGTTTTTTAGTTTTTTTTTTCTAGAAAATTTCTGAGAATAGTCTCTAAATTTTAGTTTTTTGAGAGGATTTTTATTCCTCTTTTGATATTATTATTATTACTATTATTAACATTATTTCAATCATAATAATATTGATAATAATAATAATAATGCCAATAATACTACTATTAATAATAATATTGATAATAATAACTGCCATTATTATTATTAATATTAGTATTATTAATCAACAATGGCTGTATTTTTATATCGGATACATTTCAAAGTCATGAAATTATCGTTACAAATCACATCAACCCACAGCGTCACCGCTCCCGGCCGTGCGCATGCGCAGACCAGTGCAAGGAGCTGTCCGCGGCAGTTGGTGCTCGAGCGTTTTCTCCGCAGCAGCTTCGCCGGACACGTCAATACAGGAGACATGGAGGAAGAGCTAAAATGCCCAGTTTGCGGTTCCTTCTTCAGGGACCCCATCCTGCTGCCCTGCTCCCACAATGTCTGCCTGCTGTGCGCCCGGAACATCACCGTCCAGACGCCGGATGGGGAGACTCCGGTCCAGAGTCGAGCCTCCGGCAGCTCCGACTACGACTACCTGGACATGGACAAGATGAGTCTGTACAGCGAGACGGACAGCGGCTACGGCTCCTACACCCCCTGCCAGTTGAAGTCTCCGAACGGCGTTCGGGTATTTCCGCCGGTCGCCCCGCATCGGAACTGCTCTCTCACCTGTCCGCTGTGTCACCGGAGCGTGTCCCTGGATGAGCGGGGGCTCCGGGGGTTTCCTCGGAACCGGCTTCTGGAGGCCATTGTGGTGCGGTACCAGCAGACCCGCGGCATCCCGTGTTCGGCATCCCCCTCCGCGGTGAAGTGTCAGCTGTGCGACCGCAACCCGGTGGTCGCCACGGTGATGTGCGAGCAGTGCGACGTCTATTACTGTAACGCCTGCCAGCAGCGGTGCCACCCGTCCCGCGGTCCCCTGGCCAAGCACCGCCTGGTGCCGCCGCCGCCGCAGAGTCAAGCCGCTGGAGGAGCGGCGGGCGGCGGTGCTGGGAGTCAGCAGCCGCTGCTGACCGCGCGGAAAACGGGGACCTGCGTGGATCATGAGGCGGAAAACTTCAGCATGTATTGCTGCAGCTGCAAGGCTCCGGTGTGCATGAAGTGTTTGGAGGAGGGGAAACACGCCAAGCACGACGTCAAACCGCTGGCTGTGATGTGGAAGCAACACAAGGTGAGCGCATACTTCATTTCTCATGCCCCATAAGGCTCGTTTTTTCAGTCACACTGAGGTTTGGGGCTTATTTTAGAGGTAAATATTAATTTCTGCCACAGAAAGCTCCTTTGGCAAGGGTGTCCAAAGTGCGGGTTGGGGGCCCTTTGTGGCCCTTGGGCTGATGTGTTTGTGGCCCCCAACTGCAGTTCAAGAATGAATAATGGAATATTGGGACAATAATAGGGGAAAAAAGAAAATTACAAGAATAAAGTATGTTTAAATAAAGTCATATTATTATGAAAAAATAATTAAATTACGAAAATTAATACAGAACATTATGAGAAAAAAGTTGTATGAAAAAAAAGTGGAAATAATACTAAAATAAAGTCAAAGTGTTTCGAGATAATAAACAAGAATAAAGTCAAAATAATGACTATAATGTGATAGTATTCCAAGTCAAAAGTCATAATATTACAAGAATAAAGTCGTGTGAGAAAAAAGTCAAAATAATACAAGATAAATAAAGTCAGAGTGTTTGGATAAATGTCATATCATGACAATAAAGTCATACTATTATGAAAAAAAGTCGAAATAATGCGAAAACAAAGCCATAATATTTCACAATAAACACATTTGAGAACAAAGTTATGGTAGAACTGTACAATGGCTGCTGGAACAGACAAGTGTTTTGTTACTGACCTATTACCCAGAAACCGCTTGCTGCATTTTTGTTGATTGTGCAGTATGCTCCACTTCTACTTTTCAAAGATGTATGGTTGTATAATTGTGAATCCATTAGCAGCCATTTTCATGTGTGAGTGTAAGCCTTGATATGGGGGGCGTGGCCAGAGGCGCGGCCTCTGCATTAAAGTGACAGAGGCCCAAAAATGGCTCATTCTAAAAGGAGTTTAAGACAGGCAGGAATGACCAGGCTAAGCATGATTTTGTGCAAAAAATCTAATGAACATGTTTTTTATAGCACAAAGATAATCTATATTCACCTTTAATACTTCCCCAGTTTTGTTGAGTTCTGCTCTTTTATACCATTTTCAGTGAATTAATTTTCCCCATTCTGTTGGATTTGCAGTATTTGGGCCAAATTATATGTGAATGAACACATTAGAACATAATTACTGCAGGCATGTAAACTGTAAATGTGGGATGAGTCACATCAGCCACTGGCCTACATCTGCACTGTAAGTGAGAGCACTGGAAAATGGAGGAGGTCAGCGTTGGTTTATGCCTAAAGGTTTTCAGAATAAGGAGTGGGTCATGTTTCCCCCCTGGTTCCCTGTTTAGAGCTTTTAGTATATAGTATATTGGAAAAAGGACATTTTTATATTTTAATATATAGTGTAATATCACAATCCCAAAGGACTGCATGGATACAATACTGCTACTAATAACAATTTATTTATCCTGTTGTACAAACCTTTGCTATTATTCATCTACCAGATTTAGAATTAGATGATGGGGGAAAGACATGGTTTCCTTCAATATTACAGTAATGCTTTGTTTTTTAATTTTGTGCACACTACCCTGGATCATACATATTTTCACATAATTTATTCTTTTATTTTATTTTGATATGAAAATATCTCAGAAAAGCTAACTGTAATTGCATAAAATATCAAAAATATGTGTTTAGATTAGAATTAAAGTGACAAACTGGATGACTTAATGTAAACAATTTAAAATACACACAATTTGGGACATGAAAAACATGATTTGCTGTGATTGCTTTCATTTAGCTTAATTTGTATTCAAAACAATAAATAACATGAAAACCTGCCTTGTTTTTATGATTAATTGTGAAGGAAATCTTACTGCTGTCTCTTGTTTAGTTAAATAGCTGCTTTTATGACACATTGATTCTTCCATTCAGGTATTAAAATGTCTTCAGGGACACAAAGATTGGACAAAAACCTGCTGATACGAGCTCTTCCCCCCTCCGTCTGCCAAAATAGAAAAATAAATAAATCACCCGCCTGTTTCATTAGGGAGTGATTACAGTGATTTATGGTCTAATCCATTTTTTAAATGGCTGTTTCATTAATTTTAAAGATGAGTTTGCTCCTGGGCCGAGGTCAACTTAAGTTCATTTCCCTCAGGTTAGTGGTGACCTCGCTGAATTTTATTAAAAAGCTCAGTTTGAATGCATTTGTGCCTCATTTGGGAATATTGAAGGAAATGTATTTAAAATTAAATAATTAAAAGTATATCGCTGCCTATGTTAAGAAGGAGTTTGACAAGAAATACAATCCGACATGGCACTGCATCGTTGGCAGGAACTTTGGCATCTATGTGACACACAAAGCTGTGTTTTGTATTCAAAACAATAATATGTATTTATTGTTTTGAATACAAATTAAGCTAAATGAAAGTAATTTTTTGTATCTGTTATGATGACTCAGCATCACACCTGATGTAGCTGATGTACATATTATGCATATAATATAAACATTTTATGTTTATTTCTTTTTTAGAAAACAAAGTCCGGAAAAAAGAGTCAAAATAATTTGTTATATTGTTACAAGGTTCCTTTTTAGTTTAATTCTTGTTAGTTAAATCAGTATTTATTTGTGTTTATTTTTTTACTGCATTTTCTGTCTATTTTCCTCACTCTTAGTTTAATATTTCCTCATTTGCCTCTACCTGCTGCCCTCCCCAGCTGCATCCACTCTCCTGTAATTAGCTCTTCTGCTTCCTTTGTCATTTCCACTCTTCCTCAGTATTTAAACTCCTCTCTTTCAAGAATTGTGAGATCCTGGTTTCTTGGAATTCAGGGTTTAATCTTAGAATTTTGACTTTTTTCTTAAAATTTGAATGTTTTTCTCAGAATTCTGACCTTGAGTTCAAAAATTTGACTATAAACCCATAATTTTGATGTCAATCTCATAAGTCTGACTTTAATTTACAGACTCAGAATTTTTTTCCCAGAATTCTAACTTTTTTTCCCAGAATTCTGACTTCAGTGTCCGAATTCTAATGTTTTTGTTTTTTTCCTAAATTCTTACTTCTTTTTCCCATCAGAATTTGGCCTTTAATGTTCGATTTCTGACCATTTTTTCCCTTCAAATTCTCACTTTCCCCCCCATTATTCTGTTTTTCTCAAAATCAGAATTGTTCAAATTGTTTATGTACCATCAAGCAAATATAGGACAGTTGATTTAAATTCATTATGCAGCGCCTCTGAAAAATCTTGATGTTCATTCTAAACAAAAATATGCTTTGCAAATTTATTGCCCTTGGAAATTATAGTAGTCTTTAAATATGACGACTTAATTATGTAACTAGCATGCTAATCAGGAGATTTTGCTATAATTAAGTGAAATGCCTAAGGAGTGGGAAGCAAAATGATTTTAATAAAATGGAAAACTCTTAGCTTATAGAGCAAACCAGAGTGTGTCTGAGTTTAGGTTATTTTAGCTCTTTTCCTTTTTCCAATGGAGTATTTCATCATTTGCAGAAATTAAAAGGCATTTTGTGCTAAGTGGGTCATTGGGACTAATCTCTGAGTGTCTTTCTCATTTTTTTGTGGATTTATTCCCAACAGCTTCTTCCCTCTTTTTCCCGTAAATTGGCTCATGTCTCACCTTCTCCATCTCTTATTTACATCCTCCATACCCTTCATTTACCCTTCCCTGCCTCCCTCCAAGCATTTCTTCCAGATCCCCCATCACACAGGCTCATAAATGGGCCGTGAAAATCCCATTAGGATGCAGAAGTGAGAGGGCGTTGATAAGTAATCAGCAGCGTATGAACAAGAGATGGGCACCTCTTAGTTAATCTGGTGTCCTCCTCGCTGAATGAGATAGACATGTGCAAAGCTGAAATGGCTGTTCAGTTCTTGAAGTGTCACTCACGCAGACCAGTGTAGTCTATTTTATTTATTTTTGATGGATTGCACTGGTTTTCTCCTATCTGCTTTGGTGGGTGTAGCTTTATCCAGCTTCCTCCCCCATTTTCCTCTTGATCTCCTCTTTCTTCCAAAGCAGCGTGGTTCTCTGCCTGTGACCCAGAAAGATTTTCTTTTTCTCAGGCATCACTGGATGATGAGTGTTTTTTTGAAACATTTCTGACCAGATCATACATCTTTGTAACAAAACTGACAGATTAATTGATTTTGGAAAAGTGTATTTCCTGCTAGGTAGCCCAAAACGACCCAAATGTTTGGAAAGACATCCTGAAACTAGAACTGACAGGCTCCATGAATCACTGGTTGTTAGTTTTTGTAAGCATTAGTAAGAAATGCACAGATCTTTTGTCTGGTATTATAGGTATATACAAAATTTCTTCCCAAAAACTAATTTCAAATTTTTCAGGAAAAAAAAAAACATCTAAAAAGTCAAAACATTTCAAGACAAAGTATTAGACATGTCTCAATTTGAATAATTGAAAATTTGCTAGAAGAAAATGGAACTTATAAGAAAAATCGCAATTATTTTTGGAGCTTGAAATGTTGAAAATTTGCTTGAGAAACTCAGAAATTTTTTATTTAATCTTAAAAATTTTGACATTTCAAACTTCTTACTTTTCAAACTCAGAACATTTCCGCAGGTGAAAAACTTTTGGAAATGCTTTTTCTAAAAAAAATTCTGAGATGAATAAATATGGTTAATTTTTTTCTTGCAAACTTTTGACTTTTCAAACTCAGAAATCTCCATGTTTTTTTCTCAAAAATTTCTGAGATTGATCTTGAAATTTTGGTGGAAATGTACTCCTTGTTTTTCTATCTCCAATATCTTCAAGTCACAAATAGGAATAAGATTGTTGTTGTCAGATTGAATAAAAATGTTTATTTAAATCTTTGTTCCAGCAGACGTCATCAAAAATGAATTGTAAGCATTGATAATTTTGCGTGAAACAAGCATCCAAAAACCATGTGACTGCGCTTCGACTGTTCGTTTTCAGGTTAACTATACCGGGCCCTTTAATCTGTTTTAATTGCTACCATATGTAATATTCCTATTTATGCTGTGCTTCCATTTTATGTTACTAATCCATATAATCCCTTT